TCTGGAAGCTGCAATCAAATGCAGCCAGGCTGGAGAAAGAGCAGCAGTTGGTGCCTCTGGTGGTTTTGTGCTGTGAGGCAGAGGTTTCTCAGGAATAAATCTCAGGAGACCCACTCATTTGTCCTGCTCTCTTTGCCATCACACCAACCTGCCTTGTCACGCTCCCGAGACTGTTCCTTTGTGCTCAACCAGTAACTAAAATCTGCTCTTCCTTTCCCACATGCTGCAGTAAAAGAGCTGATAAAGTGAAATACCTCTAGACCTGAGCAAAGATGATGAGCCTGGGCTCTGCTAGGTAGGTCTTCCATGGAAAATCTTCCTCAGCATTTTCACTGCTAGGACAGTGGGAGAGAGAGATTATCTTTTCAGGGCTGGGTAGAACTTTCCAGGGGTCTCTCTTTACCCCTAAGGCTGTACAAGGAGGCTTGGAATTCAGGAGAGCTGGATGTTGGCCATGTCTTCCTCAGCCAGGCTCTTCTCTCCAAACCCATCAAGGATTTGCTGGCATTTCCCAAAGCCCTTAGCAGGGACGTGGGGGATCCACAAGTGCAGCCACGTTCCCCAAACCCCACCTGCCACCTGTTTTGGCTGAGACTGGCGTGTCCCAGGCTTTTAACCTTTTTGGATAACATTAACCTTTTTTCCTTGGGCCTAATCCCTTTCTGTGTTGGGAACATTTCTGCTCCCACTTCCTCTCAGCCTTTGAACAGAGTGATTTGTCCAGAAAAGCTGTGGCTGCCCCACGCCTGGAAGTGTCCAAGGCCAGGTTGGATGGGGCAATCTGGGTGTCCTGCCCGTGTCAGGGGGTGGAACGAGATGATCTCCAAGGTCCTTTCCGACCCATACCAGTCTGTGATTCTATAATTTCATGATTCATGCAGAGCAGAGAAGTAAAACCCTGGATCCCACTGCTTTATAAGCAGACAGGATAACGTTAATAACTCACAAACAGTCCCATGAAACCTCAACCACCCAAGAACCTGCAGTGCAGTAGAATGTCTTTGAAGGCTGTGCAAAATCCCTGCTTTTAGTGCAACTGCTGCTAAGAACCATGTGCATGCCTCAGTTTGGTGTTCTTAAATCTGAACTGGGGAGGGCTAATCAAGCAGAGGCCTGATATAATCGAAGGGTTACGGTAGCCGCATGTGCCGCGCTGACCTTTCGGTAGCTGCGAACCGGCCCGCACTCCCATCCCTCCCCCACAGCCTGGGACAGCTGTAAACATCCCCATAATAAAGAGACAATTGTGATATCCTATTTATTTTCCATTAAAAACCAGCCTGGCACAGGCTTAGGTTGCCCGAGGGGCCGGGCAAGCGAAGCCCGCCTGTGTCCTCCTGCCACGACCCGGGCGCTGGACCCGCGGGAGCCCCGCGGGCCGTGGCAGGCAGACAAACCCTCTGGTGCTCTCCCTGTGCCCCTGGAGCAGAGTCTGGCGCCAGCATCTCTAGGAGATGGAAACAACAGCCCTCTTCCCTCTCTTCCTCTCACCAGCTCTTCCCATCCCTGCTTTTCCCCCGGGTGCGGGAGCTGAGGGTGGGGAGGGGGGCAGGAAGTCGCTGACGCGTGTGGTTGGATTTTAGCTTGAACACCGTCCAGAAAGGAGCACCAAATATTAGTAAACAGATCAGGAAACATTTCCGTGTTTGGCAATAACTCTGCTTTTCCATGGCAGCGATCTCCAGTGGTTTTTCCACTGGAGAAAAAGACCCCGCTTGGTTGATTTGCTTAAGCTGCAGTAGCCTCAGTTCCTGGGCCACCTTCAGATCCTGACCTTCAAACTCAGGTCTTTGGGCGCTGCAGCTCCTGACTTTGTGCATGGAGTTGAGTCCCTGCCTTCGTGCATGGAGTTGGACATGCCCAGGGGATTTACAGAACTCTGGTGCCATGTCCAGCATCTCTGTCGTGATCCAGGTTGAAAAGGAAAGGATCAAGATGGTTGGCCTATTTTGCTTCTGAAAAGAAGATTATGAAGCTGTTTCCTTGCTGGAATTATTCTGTTCCAGTGGGCTCCTCAGGGCAACGGCCAAAGGCCTGTCAAGTCCTGGTGGTTCAAGTTGCAGTCAGTCACATTAGGAAGAGGACACAGGAGTGAATCAAGCACTGAATGAAATCTTAGTTTTGCCACTTCTTGACATCCTCAGGTCAAGCCTGGGATGAAACCAAGCTGCTCATCCTGCAATATGTGGAGGGGAAAGAATGGCCCCTGATTTTGAAGGTCTGAACGGATGGTTCCCTCTGGCACCGTGTTGCAAACTCTGTTCTCTTGGCTGGGGGTCCCACTCAACCTGCTCAAATTTAGGTCCTTGGATAAGAAGCACGTGGTCACAGACTGGTTTTGGAAAGAAGACCTCATTTTGTGCCCAGCACCTCCCACTGCAGGTGTTGATGGGTTTTGGTGCGGGTGGAGGTGCCACCAGCATCAGGAAGAGCAACTGGGAGGACGAGGGTCAAAAATGAGCTTTGTGAGGGGAAGATGATTTCCCATTTCCAAGACAACCCTGGTCCACCAGCAGCCCTATAAGAAACAAGGAGGAAAAAGAAACAGAATGTGTCTGGTTTCACGTTGAACTTCATGAGGTGGTGCGAGAAACCATATGACACCTCATGTGACCGAGTCATGGGGACCGCAGGAATCATCCCAAAAACCCACATCTCCTTGGTGATGCTAAAGGGGACACTGTGACACCCAGAATATGCCACTCCCCTGGCTTTGCCACCTGTGGTTTTGATGAAATCAATGCTGCCTGCAGTAATTAATAAGTGGCATGTCTATTTGGGAATCAGTGTCTCCAGTGAGATGCCACCACACAAGTCATCTCCTGCTCTTGCTGTTTCCTTCCTGTACCTTTGCCCTCCTTTTTCTGGTTTGCAAATATAAGGGGCCTTGTGCACAGAGAAACGATTTGGAAATGCAGCTGTCTCCCAAACCCCACAACTTTCCTCCTGCCTTCTGCTCAGGAGACTGGCTCCCACCCTGAACATGGGACTGCCCCTGGAGCCGTGCTGCCCACCTTATATTTGGCTGGTGCATCCCATGCCATGTTGTGCCTTTCCCTGGTGTCTGTGTCTCTTCCTGGTTTTTGGGGGTTTTTTTTAACCCCCAATGAAGGGAAGAAACGCAGCATCTGAAACCTCAGCTGTGCCCAAAAGGTGACACTGCTCCCATGGTTTTATTCCAAAAGCCCGTGGAACCATCTGCCCAAGTGAGTGCTGCTGAGGAGGGGTTAGACCAAGTGCTATAATAAAAGAAATTAAAGGGGAAAGCCCCCTCTCCTCCATCACCTCTGGGCTGTGATGCCATCCCATGTATGGCTGTGGGTTGTGTGATATTCCAGAGGTTCCAGTGCCTTCCCTACCAGCACCCAGAGGGGCAGGACCTCTGCAACAGCTGCATCCTTACAGGGAAGGTTGGGGAGATTGTTTTCGTTTGTGCTGCAAAAGGTTCCGTCCTGTGATCCTGGGTCTAAGGACAATTCCCACGCAGCAGGATTAGACCCCAAATTTCCCTTCCGTGGCTCTTGGCAACACGATGAGATGCCCACAGGATTTCCCAGACCTTCTGTTGGTGTTTGCAAGACATTAGTGTAGGGAGGTGAAAACTGAACCACGGAATCACAGACTGGTTTGTGTTGGAAGAGACCTCAAAGCTCATCTCGTTCAACTCCCTTCCATGGGCAGGGACACCTTCCAGGAGACCAGGTTGCTCCAAGCCCCATCCAACCTGGTCTGGGACACTTCCAGGGATCCAGGAGTAGCCACAGCTTCTCTGGGCAACTCATGCCAGGGCCTCCCCACCCTCACTGTCCTCCCCGCTGCCCCATCCTGGGCTTCCTTCAACCCCAGCAGAGCAGAGTGATAAGAAATTGTGCAGGTCTGGGGTCCCAAGTGAAGCCTGCAGGACCAGCTTTGCCATAAAATCAGTCATGTGAGGAGTGGCTGGGGGGGCTCAGCCTGGAAAAAGGAGGCTCAGGGGGGACCTTCTGGCTCTGCAACTCCCTGACAGGAGGGGGGAGCTGGGGGGGATTGGGTTCTGCTCCCAGGGAACAAGGGACATGAGGAGAGGGAACAGCCTCCAGCTGTGCCAGGAGAGGGTCAGGTTGGACATCAGGAGGAATTTGTCCCTGGAAAGGGTGGTCAGGCCTTGGCAGGGGCTGCCCAGGGAGGTTTGGAGTGCCCAGCCCTGGAGGTGCCCAAGGCAGGCCTGGCTGTGGCACTCAGTGCTCTGGGCTGGGGGACAAGGTGGGCATCGGGCACAGGGGGGACTCCACGGTCTGGGAGATCTTTTCCAACCTAAATGATTCTGGGATTCTATAAATCACCTACAGCCAGCCCAAAAGCATCCCAAGGAAATTCCTTGTGCAGCCTCCCAGCACAGCTGGGAAGTTAATGCCCTGATTTAAGGGGCTTTGCTGGTAATGGGCTGCAGATTAGTCGTGCACTCACCTTCTGCAGGGCTCAGCTGCAGCTCTCACTCCCCAGTGAAAGCCCTAAGCGTGCCAGCGTGCTTTGACAAGGTTCCCAAATCACTTCTACCCTTCTCCTCTGCACGTCAGGCCTACATGCAGCGAACAGAACTGTGCTGAGGAGCCTGAATCTGTTGCTTGCAATGGCCAACTGGGAATAAGAGTTACTTCTTTATAGCAGATGTGTAGCTCAAAGTTCACCACAAGTGCACTCACATCGAGAGCACAGCGTGTATTGTTCTGCGAGAAGGCGAAGCTCAGCCCTTCAAAAGACTCTGGAACAACTAATTTCATTATTCAAAGAATAAAGTGAGGGAGAGAGAGCCAAAATTAACCCTCTGGCTGCTCCCTGGCAGCAGGGATTTCTGTAGCACCCTTGAGTTCAACGCTTGTGCTCACAGATGCAGGCAGAAAATCAGCTTTACAGTGCCCTGTCTCTGTTTTTCTCACTAGTTTAGGAGCTGAATATCTTATTCCTTTCAAAAATGACTGACTGGACAGAGGCCAGGCTGAGAACCCCCACACCAAGTCCTCTGTGTGTACATTGCATCAGCAAATATGGCTCGGGAATTTCATCTCCAGTTATGACCTCCAGGGAAAATCAAAAGCAACAAATCACGTATTTTATTTTTTTATTTCTTTAAATTATCCATATAGAAACAAATTTTTTTTCTTACTGACCAACTTAAAAAATAACACTTGCAGACAAGAACAAAAGAAGTCCCACAAGAAAATGTCACCTATTTTTTAGGTAGATTTGAGGGAAGAAAACTACATTCCTAGGGTTGCCAGCAAAACCACTTTAACTGGTGTGGATCTTTGCCTATGCTATTTATTTGCTCAGAGGAAGAGGTGAATGCAACCCCTCTCTGCAACCTTGATTTTAGCCTGGTGTGGTTCCCATTAATTCAGCATGACCAGGATCTGCCCAAAAGCTGACCCTTGACCTTGGAATTTTGAATCATTGCAATAGCAAACCTTCTGTGTCTCTGCTTTCGCTGCAGCCACACACCAGGGGATGGAAATAGGGAGGTTCAGCTCCTGGTGTTTCCCTGGGGAAACCCCCACAGGCTTTGTAGGACAAGACCCACCTGGTTTCACCTTGCTCACAGTGCAATGCCAGCAGCAAGGGCAAACCATTTTCCCCTCCTCCACATCCCCTGCATCGCTTGGCCATGTGGTGTGCGAATTATTCCTGAAACTCCCTCTGCCTGACCAAATTCCCCTCCACAGAGCTGAGCTGCTTGCTCAGCATCAATCCTCCCCTCCCCATCGCTGTTTCGCTTCCCAGTTCCGGCACACGGTGCTGGGGGTGCAAATATGAGGAGTTCTTTTGCCTTCAGAAACAGCCAGAAACCATCTCCAGCCACATTTGGGGCTGAAAACCCAGTTTTCTCGGCAACCCAGAGCTGTTTTGTCCTGCTGAAAAATTCCTTTGGCAAGTCCTTTGGCAAGGGCCATGGGGCTGGCTGGAACACTGGACTGTGACATGTTGTGGGGTTAATTTGTGCTTGCTGTGTGCTTGTGGTTTGCATACCCAAGCTGGCCTCCAAAACTGCCTCTTAACTAAAAGGGAAGTGGGATTTGCACTGCACAGGTGTGCTGAGGGAGGCAGCAAATCCAAAATGACCGGGATGCAGGGGGCTGATAATCCAGGTTTTTGGAGCAGAATTGCTCCAGCTCTCCCTACAAAAAGATCAATACCCATGCACAGCCAATGGCTATTGCTACAACACATCTGTGAGCAGCTCGAGGATGAAAACCCCAGAGTGTTTCTGAGACTGCCTTTCTCCCGTGATGGGGGATGGCCACGTGTGTGCTCCCTGCACACCAAAGGGCTGTGCCTCCCTAAGCTTCGGGGTGCCCAGCTGGGGTTTTCTGTGCTCTGAAAAGGTGGCAAAGGAGAGCGGGAGAGCCCCTCCTCTCCTGCCAGCTCATCCCCTTTCCCTCTGCTCTGGGCAAGGAAAGCAGCTTCCAGGACGGAGGCTGACCTATATTCCACGCTGAGCAGTGCCTGACTGCCCACTAGTTTGGTTTTTTTTTTTTTCCCCTACTTTTTCCCCCTAGTCAGGGCTGAAAAAATTGGCAGAGGACGGTCAAATCCGCGCAGGGTGCGAGCATCACTTCCATGCCCCGAAACAATCCGGGGGAAACCAAGCAGGTCCCCGCAGCAGGGCGTGCTCTGCTTTAAAGACCTTGACGTGTGTGACCATCCTGGGGGAAGAGATCTGAGGGCACGATAGCGCTGAGAAAGGAAGGATGTTTCGGCACCGGCACAGGTGAGGGAGGAGGTGCCACCCGGCTCGGCAGGAACCCTGCGCTGCACAGATAATCTCACGCCGAGCTGCGGTTCACCGCAGCGCCCTCGTGACCGGCTGAGCGGTCGGGCAGGGGAACGGGCTCCTTTTCCCACAGCACGGCCCGAACAGGCGTGGCAGGGCTTGGCTGGGGCACAGCCGGGGCTTTCTGCTCACCCGCGTGGCCCTGGTTTGCATTAAACACCCCCGGCATCAAGGCCCCCTGCCCCAGATGTTCAGAGCAGCTGGGGAGAAGGGTGACAGCCACACGCGGCGCCGTGCACGAGGACCTGTTTGGGGTTTGTTTGGGTTTTTTTGGATGATGCCCAAAGCACCCGGTTATAGTGATGCACCCGGTTATAGCGATGCTCAGCTGTTACGGGATGAAAATTGGGGAATGACAAGAATCTTTTGCTCACCGCAAAATCTCCCCCCACCCCCGGATTCAGCAATAACTCTCCGGGGGTCAGTTCTTGCCTGTTTCCATCCATTCACCCCCAGAGTCTGAGAAGTTTCGCTTGGCTCTGGAATGAGAGCCGGCCCCCATCTCGCTCCTCCTCGGCAAAGGGTTGTGTCACTGCCCCCGTGGAGCCGCGTCCTTCACAGCACCTGGAAGCGCCGCCGGCCGCGGTGTCACCACCGGCTGATCTTGGAGGTGCCACCTGAATGTGGGAATTAAGCAGAAATCCTAAGGAGGCTAATGGCGAGCCGGGCAGAGCGGAGCGGCAGCAGAAGGCTCCGGGATTTCAGGGCTTCAGCTCTGCCCCGCAAAGCGGCTTACGGACCGCACATCTGAGCCAGAGACTGGATTAGAGGCAAAACCGGCTCTGGCTCCAGGGAAATCTCTGCACAGAGGGCTCAAGGTGCTCGCTGGGCAGCTCAGAGAGCGCCCTCGTCCCCCCACCCGGCAGCGCTTGGGCTCTTGGTGTCAGCACCACCTCCTGCTGGCACGGCACCGGCCTTTTGGAGCTGGATTTGGCAGCGTGGAGCAGTCGAGACCACACTGTGCTTGCCCAGGCACCCAGGGCTGGGGCTGCAAGTCAGGCTGGATGACCCAGGCACAGTTTGGGTGATGCAGGGTCAGGTTCCTCTTCTTTGCTAACTAAATCAAAGAGGAACTCTTTGTGTCAGGGTGATGCCACTGCTGGCGCTGCACCAGCACAACACTGTCCCTCCACCAAGGAGAAGTGTGGATGGAGATGCCCCAACTTGCCCAGACATGACCCAAAAGCAAGCTGTGGTGTTGTTGGTCCTGCTGGGAGCAGAGAGCTCCATCCACCCCTTCCTCCTGGGTCACACGTGCCAAATTACGATGATGCTGGCCCATCCCAAGGGCAGCAAGATCCCTAGGAAATCCTGGCCTCTGGGAGAGCAGAGTGGCTTTCACTGCAGGGGTGTCTCACAGCTCAGTGCTATGAAACCCACCGTGTGTTTTCAGCTGGGCAGCACCTCCTTTTAAAAATGAAAACAAAACAACAAAAAAAACCCAAACCAAACCAAAACCAAACCCTCCAAACCAAAATTAATCTCTTCATTTATTTTCAGATGCCTGTACAAAAATATAGCCCAGATCTTTGGAGGCGTGCGATTTGGGAACTGATGTGGGCCGAGGAGCTGGGTGCCTGTCTCCTCTCCCAAGCTTTTTTTGGAAATGGGCTCAATTCCTGCAAAACAAATGCACCAAGAGCGTTGCAGGCGATTTTGCAGGATCTGTGAGAGTTACCCCAAACAACAGCCATAATATGATGGGCTCTCAGCAGGGCCCTGTGGCTTCCTTTGACACTTGTGTTCTATTTTATCTGCTTTTTTTACTCCATCTTAGGGATCTGCAGGCAGGGGCAGATGCCTGGAGTGGGTAGAGGAATGGCAGGGTTGGATCCTTGTCCACAGGGCCCCTAAATCCATGCCAGGGAGATGCCTCTCAGGAGACGGCGTGCCATGACCTGAAGCCCATCTCTGCCAGGGCCTCCTCCAAAACCCATCATGTTACAGGACATGACAGGTCCATCTCAGCACCCGGGACATGGTGGCAGTGGCACGGACACACTGTGGGATGGGACAGGAACTGAAAAGGAAGGATTGCTGTCACAGACTTAAAGGTACAATTAAAGGCCCTGAGATCAGGAAAATGCATCTCTTCTGTGGCAACAGAGGAGACTTGTCTGGTTGATTTCCTGGGATTTTCCCAGGATGGCTGTGATTTCCAATTAACTGGCAGATCCATCCATCACAGCCACTATCTCCTTGTTCCCATATTCCCTGATCACACTGTAAGAGCAGTGACTGCACAAGATGCCACGGGCCAGCCCTGCCAAGTGATGCTGACTGGAGGGAAGTGACCACAACTGGGAGCTAAAAGGCTTTGAGCATCTATGACCTTGGCTTTCCTCGTGCTGAGGAAGACAATAACATCATGGTCTGGGAGCTAAAACACTCTGATTCAACTTCAGGCATTAGCTGTGGCTCGTGGCATACACGAGATCAGACACAGCCATCACCCTTGTCTGGGAACAGGGAGATAGTGGTTGTAGAGGATGGATCTGCCAGTTAATTGGAAATCATGTCCATCCAGGGAAAATCCCAGGAAATCAACCAGACAAGTCTCTTCTGTTGCCACCCTTTTGGACACAGTGGCCTCTTTGAAATATCACCCCTCGTTACCCGCCGTGCGTGGGAAAGTTGATGCCGTGTCTCCCCTGCTCCAGCTACAAACGAGACGTGGCCACCACAGGGATCCTCATGTGCCCGACGCTTGGAGAACATGCAGAGGGGCACATCCATGAACTCTTCCATTCCACCTTTCAAAAAAAAAAACAAAAACAAAACAAAACAAAAACCAAACAAACAAACAAAAAACCACAAAAAAAAGTAGTTTCTGTCTAAATCAACCTGGAGGGAAGCTACTAGGACAGAAGCGTTTTGATAGACTGTCATGATGTTTTCAGGAAGAATTTATTCACTGGAAGGATTGTCAAGGCTTAGAAAGGGGCTGCCCAGGGAGGTTTGGAGTCCCCACCCCTGGAGGTGTCCAAGGAAGGACTGGACGTGGCACTCAGCACTCTGGGCTGGGGGACAAGGTGGGGAATCCACAGTCTTGGAGGTCTTCTAAAAGATTCTGGGATTCTGTGCTATGAGGAAGGACGGGAGCAGTTTGAGACTCGCCACGATTCGTGGTCAAAAACCTCAGAATCAAGAATCTCATGATTTAAAAAAAGAAAAAAAAATCCAAAAGTAATTTTGGTCAAATGCAGGGGTATAAAGAAAAAAAAAGAAGTGGCTGAATTGGACTCGTTTAATGGTTAAAATTCTGCCTGGTAGATCTGGTTATTTTTAGTGCTGTGGTAGAGAGGCACTAAATAGAGGCACTAAACTTGTGACATGTGATTGAAGAGGAAGGGCGAGTTAAAATCAGATTTAGAATAAATAAATGGTTTCTTGGTTAATCAAAACTGACTTCACAGAAACACAGTTTAGTAGCTTAGAAATACTTGAAACCCTGACAGGTAGTATTTTCAACACAGTTATACTTGCCGTTCATCTTTTTTTTTTTTTAGCATTTCAAATCAAATTCCTTGTTCATTCACTCACATGCCCATTTATACCCTTCCCTGGACCTGCCCTGCTATTTCTGCACCTGTTCTGCCAAAATAAAGTATCAAGCTGTCTAAAACTCACCTCATTTTTGGACTGGCTGTTTATTTGAGTTTTTATGGTGGTGATGAGGCAACTCTGAGCCTGGATTTTTGTGCTGTTTCAAGTCAGGCTCCTCTCCTTGACATAATTTTTTTACTGTAAAAGTATCAGGAGACCTGGAAAGGCTGCTGGAGCTCCATGCCTCTGACTAGAGCCAGAAAAAGCTTCACTTCAATCAAAGGAACCACTCACCGCACAGATTCTGGAAAATCCAATTTAATTCTATCCCAATAATTATTACAGCGCACCGATCCATCTCTCTTTATTTACTTTTGCGAGACAAAGGCCAGTGATGTTGACACTAAACTCGAATTCCATCCATCACTGGAAAATTCATCATAAATCTAGATGAAATTCAGCAGCTCGACTTGGAAATTGCTACAAATGAGACTTCACAGCCTCTGCAAGGCTCACTGCAGACTCTATGCAGCCATCGAAGTTGGAGCGGGTAAATCCATCGCCCCCACAAATCAGAAGAGGCTGAGTATGAAGAATCATTTGCCCTGGACAATTGGGCACGGCCTTTGTAACCTGGAAAAGAAAAGCACGCAGGGAGTTGGAAGAGGGAGTATCTCATCTACCTGAATTCCCACTGGAAAGGTCTGTTTTCCTTAGGAAAGCCTTGGTAAGAATCCCAGAGTGGTTTGGGTGGGGAGGGACCTTAAAAGATCATCTCTACTGGCTGTGACACACAAACCTACCTGTCCATGTGGTGCTGGATCAGTGCATCCCAGAGCACCACTGGGGAATCTCAGCATGAAGACGAGGTGGCAGAAGGTGAATTATTGTGAGGGCAAGGCAGGCACGGGCAGAAAGGATAAAACAGGGAAGAAGATCATAGAATCACAGAATCATGGAAAAGCTGGGGTTGGAAGGGGCCTTGAAGATCACCCAGTTCCACCCAGGGATGCCACAAGATGCAGGAGGGAGGTGGGAAGAAGTAGTGCGAGAAAAGGAATGGCAAGACAAGATCTGTAAGGATGAACTGCTGAAAAAGAGAGAAAACCATCTAGAAAGGTGAAGACAGAGAGAGGGAGAGAAAACAAAAGGGCAGAAGCAGCACATCAGTAAACCAGCAACAGAGATCAAACCACGGGGTCCTAAAGCATGGGACAGAGAGGACAATTTTGTTCTCCTCATTTCCTGATTTTCTGCCTCTGGTCCAAAGACATGTGTTGGATTCCTGTGCAGTAAAACATTGCTGTACCCCACTGTGGGACTGTCAGCTTCACTGAACAAGCCCTTACGTCCAAGGAATCTTGCTAAATCCAGGGCATTTTCCCACTGATTCAAATGTCCACTCAACTGGCCACTACTGAGCCATTATCTGCCACTGCCAAGGGTGGATCAGCTGCAAAACAGCCACATTTATGGAACTGGCTGCATTTTGTGTCACTGCAGCTCTTTAAAGGAGGCAATTATCTGAAAGAGCCAGTTGCAACCCCTTATCCATTACTCAACAGAAGAGCCTATCCAGGTATGGAAAATCCAGCCAGTGATCCTCCCTCTCAGACTAATTTTAAGTCAGTATTTAATTTATTCCTAATTTTTTCTCCTACAGATCGAGCTGAGTATAAAGAATGAAGAACAGAAAAAGGTTTTTTTGAGTGTCCTTCCTTGTTGGCCGCTCGGTGCTTGTTTGATGCTGGCTGTACCAAACAACTCCTGGTTTGTGATCCTGACCACAGGATCAGAATTTCCACACCTCAGCCTGCACCTTTTCACCTGCACGGCAAGATTTTGTGAGCAATGTTATGAAAGACCCTCCCTCTAGAAGGGGGAAGGGAATGATCCTGCTCCTCCTTCACGTTCTTCTGGTGGCATCCAACATAAATTCCAGATTACCCTTGCTGGGATTCGGTCAGAGGTTGGACTTGATGATTTTGGAGGTGTTTTCCAACCATAATGGTTCTCTGATTCCATAGAAAGGGACTCTCTCAAAGACACGTGGTGGATTGGTTGGGAAGCTGGTGGCTCTGAATGCTAATGGGGCCTCCCCATAATTAAAGCAGGGGATCCAGAACTGCAGCTGTGCTGCTAAGCAGTGTCAGTAGAATTTTGGGAGTCCTAATCCCTCATCTGCCACGGATAATTGTAATGTCTGCATTTTAATCCCAGGATTGTGTTTGGCCATGTGAAGGATGTTACAGCCGGATTTAATTAACAAGTAGGATAAATCCCATCTAAAAGAGTCAGGGGAAAGATGCACCCATCTTATCAGCTCCCTCTGCCTCTGTGGCAACAGCTTATTATAACTGAAATTAAAGATAGCTTTAAGAGAAAGAGGGAGCTCTGCCCCAGATATTTAATTTAGGCAGTGATTATTTCATAGGGTGGCATTAGAGATCTCTTTATGGAGATAACACGTCTGACCTACACTGACTTCTTTGCAACCTAAGACATATTGACATTCATCTCCCGAATTACAGGCTGGTGATAATCCCTCCTGTGGCACAGCCAAAAAAGCACCAGCAGCTGCTGGAGTTGGGGCTTGGAGCTACCATGTCTGGTGGAAGAAGTGTTCCTGCCCACGGCAGGGAGCTGGAACGAGATGACCTTTAAAGTCCTTTCCAACACAAACCATTCCGTGATTCCGTGATCCTGCAATCAATCCCATGTGTCCATACTTTAGGGTGCATTAACTCTGCTTAGAAATACTTCTTACTCGGTTTTGGGAACCCTTTCCAGAGCTGGCCAGCCAAGTGTCTGCCTGCTGGAGACAGATCCAACTCTTCTCCTCCCTATCACCTGCAGCTCTGGTGCTCACAAGCAGTTTGAAGCAGGAAGGTAACAGGGAAGGCAGAAGAAAAGACCAGAGGTCACAACCAGAAAACAACACCTTTTTGGCAAAAAAAACCCAACCCTGAACCAGTAAGAGGAACATACAAAACATACCATGATTTTGATATGATTTATATAAATATAAATATAAATATACCTGTGCTGAGGTGGCTTTTCCAATCTACCAAAACCTAACTCCCAGAGAAATAAACTCTGTGCTAACGAGACTGGGTTCCCAAATTGGATGCAGATCAAGGGCTCTGAGCAGACTGCACAACAGTCATCTGCAGCAACCTTTCCAGACTTCATAAAAAGGAGAAATTTTTAGGGTACTGCTTTAAAAGTAAATATTTTGCTGCAACTTCCACGTTCAATTTCACCAATGTAATTTAACTCGAGAGGCTTTGGGTAAACATGCAGATACACTCCAATACTTTAGGAAATTGCCAACAATTTCCTTGGATTTTTAAAAGAAGCCTGTAAAATATACACATTTTGCTATTATTACCCTTAGGTAGTTTACTTTAAAATATTTTTCACGTAACATGCTGTTAAACCGAACCGGGCCAAACCAAATAATAACAGTTAGTCCCTCTGAACTCAAGGACTTGTGCTACTCTGTGGTAGGGTGGGAATTTTGCTAATAATATCCCATATTTTTTGGATGTGGAGAGAACGGATTGAGTCATGTTTTTAAATGCCAGTGAAAATCCCACTGAAGTACACGGGATTTACTTCCTTCCTGCACACTGCTCCTGTCCCCTCCTTACAAGGAGAGCTGCAGAACTCACCACTGAGCCAGTGTGTAAAAACATGGCTAGGAATGAGCTGGCTGTTGTTGGCCAGCCTTGGATACTGCTCATGGCTACGTGGAGGAATGCACTATGGATACTGGGCAACCATCCCCCCTTTCCTCTTGCTCCCTGAGGATGAAAACCACAGACTGATCCCATGGCAGAGTACCTGAGAGTATCTCCATCTGTGACACTTGATGCTGCTTGGTTTAGGCAGGGATGGGACAATCCTCTCCAGGTGACTGAGAATTATCTGCTGCACCTCTGCAAGGTCTGAGTCCAGGTACTCACTTCCAAATGTCACAGTCGTGTGGACAACAAGGGAAGGCCCAACTTCGGGAGACTCTGAAATAATAAAGAAGAGAGATGCTTTTGAAGGATTACTCCTTAATACTTGCCTTCCCCACATGCTGACCACTGTGCCTCCAGCCCAGGAGTCAGTAAGAATGAAAATACCTGTGGTACCACCCTGTTCTTCCAGCTGGAAAAAACCCACAAGGAATAACAACACAAGTTGTTCACAAGGAACACAAAGAAGTCAAGGGGGACAATCTCTGCAATACAGAAATACAGAAGACTTGAATCACACAATGGTTTGGGTTGGAAGGGACCTTAAAGATGATCCAGTTCCAATCCCCTGCCATGGGCAGGGACATCTTCAATGAGACCAGGTTGCTCAGAGCTCCATCCAGCCTGGCCTGGGACATATCCAGGTCTTTGCTGTATTTCAGCTGAGACTGAGCTGGTGTTTGAATTAAGCGCTTCCCACTCACTCCATTAACCAGAAATTCCCTCTCTTGGAAGCAGAAAGCCTTCTCTGGTTAAACCCTTGTTTGAATTAGCACATTCCTAGAAAAATATTTTAGTTTCAGCTAACGAGTGTTTTATGAGCAAGGAACCCACAAAGGAAGAGGCAGCTGAACACTTTCTGACCAGTTCTGGCTGTGAGGTACCAAGCTCGAGAGAAGTCTTTATCTCTGCTGTGTCAGTGAAGAGATTCCAGCTCCTCAAGCTGGAGACCCCCTTTGGGAAGACAACAAATTCCAGCTTTCCAAAGGCAACCAAAATGTCTTCCTCTGGTAAGTTTTCTGTCCTGGGGCTGATCACTTCAGCACACACTACTGAGGTGCAGCAGTGCCAAGTCTGGCACCCACAGCAAGCACGAAACCCACGGCTTTAACTTCAGCTGGAAGAACCCCCTCACCGAGTCTCTTTTGGGGGGTGCAGCTCAGCCAACCCTTGCTCTTGAGAACTGGGAAAACCAGGCAAAAAGGTTGGGAAGATGTTTCCTGATTTCACAGGCCATATCTCTGTGGGCATCAGCTTTTCCAGCTGTCTGGAAAATACATCAGAAAGGCTACTCAGTCTTTCCTTCCCCTTTTGGGGGAGAAAACAGGGATTGTGGTGATGTCTCTTCACAGACAATGTGAGGGACAGAAGACCACGTGGGGAAGCCTGTTAGGTACCTTGGGATTTATTACAGGGTACGTGGTATTTTGGCAAATACTTCCACGTCAACTTGGCAAAAAGGCTCATTAAAAGAGCATTTTAATAAAATAAATATTCATTGCTTGCTGTGTCTTGTTACAGCCAGTGATTCCACCAGTGATTCCACCAATGATCGCAGCCAAGGGCCACCTTCTCTCAGATCTCTCATCTCTTCCACAGCATGTACAAAACAAGTTTCTGGAGAACAGGCAGTTCGTTGAGTTTTTAATTCCTCTGAGCTACTGATAGCTTGGAGAGCTTCCAGAGGCCACTGAGTCACAGCCTCCCAGTACTGAAATATGCAGCCTGCGAGGATCAACTTTAGCCTCAAGCCCTTTCCTTTCTTCTGCAAAAAATACTGGCTAAAACAGGAATCCAAAATAGATTTTTCCCTGAAAGCAATGGGGGGATCTCAGTCCTGATGCCCTGTGGGCGAACGACTGTCGGGGGACTAAAACCCGTCATTTTCCTCCCAAGTGCTTTAGATCAGGCTGCAACAGCCTGCTGGGAAACACAGGGCTTCTGGCAGGTCTTCTGGTGAGATCTTCATTTCCTTTATTTGTGGCAAGGATGCAAGCTGGCCATGGCAATGCCAGGATGGCAAACCCTGTCCTGGGGGACATCGGGCCCCACATCGCCGGCCAGGCCAGGGAGGGATTGTCCCGCTCTGCTCTGCCCTGGGGCGGCCTCTCCTCAATATTGGGGCAGTTTGGGGGGGACACAATATCAGAAAGATCTGAAGCCATCAGAGAGTGTCCAAAGGAGGGCAGTGAAGATGGGGAAGGGCCTCGATTTGAAGCCATGTGAGGACGCTGAGGGCACTTGGTGTGTTCAGCAGGAGAAGAGGAGGCTGAGGGGAGACCTCACTGCAGTTCCAACTTCCTTGGGAGGGGCAGAGAGGGCAGGACTGAGCTCTGCTCTGGGGGGACCAGGGACAGCACCCAGGGAATGGCTGGAGCTGTGTCAGGGCAGGGTCAGGTTTGATCTCAGGGAAAGGTTCTTCCCCCAGAGGGTGGTTGGGCACTGAACAGGCTCCCCAGGGCAGTGGGCACAGCCCCAAGGCTGCCAGAGCTCCAGGAGGGTTTGGATGATCCCCTGGGGCACAGGGGGTGACTCTTGGGGATGGTCCTGTGGAGCCCTGAGCGTTGGGGGGGGGGTTCCATCCTTGGGGACTGCCCCAACTCTCCTGGACATCTGCTGTAGCTGTGACATTTGCTCTGCCGGGAGCAGGGACAGCCCAGAGACCCTTGTGCTGCTCCCTCCAGCTGGAACCTGCCTAGAATTGGTGTAAATCCATGAAAACAGAGGAGGAGAACCTCCATCACTGAGCAGCATGAAGTACAAGCTGTCACAGGGAGAGGACACATCAGCTACCTGGAAGGGGTGTCAAGGACAAAGAGCATGGAAGTGATTAGGGCTCACCATACACTGCACTTTGGCCAGTTGCAGCCGTGAATTAAGCAGCAAAGTCTCCCCATGTTGAACTTCCTGTGGAAACTGGAACTTGACCTAGAACCTGGGAATGAGGGGAAAGGTTTTTGGATTGTGAGCAGAAGGCAGCAGCCATCAGCTTCTTAACATTTTGGGACTGTTTTGGGACTGTCTCAACACTCGTCATTAATTCCCAGCTGGAGAAATCACACGGGCTGTGTTAAAAAAGAGAAGGACAGACTGCTGACAGTGAGAATTTATAGAGGATTAAGCCTGTTAGGAGTCTTATCTTCCAGAAAAAGGATGGGGCTAATAAAAGATCCCTGGAAAAGCACACAGAGAACAGAGCTCACTTGCCCAGCACAGTGGCTGCAGCTCCAGGACATCTGGTGTCAGGAAGGTGGCTCTTAGCTTTGAGTAACACCTTTAGTGTGGAATTGTGGTGTCCTGGGTGAAGCTGCTCAGGCTGGAAGCATAGCTGTCACTGTCACAGGTGGGATACAGAGACCCAGGGGTGAATTCCTCCAGGCACTCTGTACTCCAGGACAGTGACAAAATGAACAGCCCGAGTCTTCCCACAGGGACCTCCTTCTGCCCTGAGAAGTTCTCAGATGGTATTAAGAATGTGAAGTCAGCTCCTGTGGCGGCCACGTCCTCCTTACCAACAGTCTCAGGGAAATCACAATAAAATAAAGCATATAAAATGATGATGAAAACAATAAACCAAATCATATGTTCTTGGAGAAAGCTCACGGTGGATCACCTGCCCACCAAAATCTTCTTCCTTGCAAAATGCAAAAGCTACTTTTCTCTGATGAATCTATGCCAAGGTCAGGGCTCAGAGTCCTTAAACTCAAATGGGATTTTAGAGATGAGCTGCAATCCCTGGGATCCACGGAGGCCTGAAGTTTCCTCAGAGAAGAGAACACCATCAGAGCCTGAAAGTCAGAGGATCCGTTTGGCAAATGGTCAGGATGGTGCCTCGTCATGTTCTGGGACAGGCTGAAAAGTAACCGTGGAGAGAGAGAGGAACTGGAGGGTAACATGGATTTCAAGGCACCAGGAAGGGGACAGAGCACTCTTGGGACTGCATCAATGGCAGAAGGAACCCTGCCCTTCGACACTGCAAGGGGAGACTTGGCAAAGACAGGGAGAAGCAGCCACAGCTCCTACTATCCCCAAGAAAGCAGAAACCAACTGGATTTTCCCAAACAATAATATTCTAGGAGAGATAATCGTGTCCAAGGGCCCCTGTGGAGCATGTTTTGCAGTTGCTCAGCTTGAAAGGCTTTGAAGCAAGAAATCCTAGGCCGCAAGGGACACAGCGCCCACCGAGGCGTCAAGGACAGGGCGTTCAGAGAGCCTCATCAACCTTGACCTTAGAAGTGGTTGTGCTGGTCTAGGACTGAAGCACTTTTGTGGAGAAGCATGAGGCAGCACAGGCTGGAATCTGCATGCCCTGGAAGTGGCCTGTGGCTCACAGGCTCTGCAGAGCCCACAGATCCACCGACCCTCGGGAGAACGAGAGCTACTTTCACAGAGGCAGAGAAAGCAAGCAGCCACGACCTGCTGATCAGTTTGCAGGCTCCACAGATGCATCCACAAAACTTCCACAGAGAGGGTGGAAAATTCTTCCTGGTTCAGCTGTGCTGACATTAAAACTTGCTGGACAGCAAATGTGGACAGAGCTTGAAGAATTTCCTGTCTTCGCCAACGGGGTTTGCTTGGACTCACTTCCCAGTTCATTTATTAGCGTGTTCAGTAAATACTCACCAGAACATTGTCTGCCTCAGAGTCACAGGACTTAGGGAGGGAGGGAGGAACCTCTGGAGGTCTCTAGTCCAACCTCCTGCTCAAAACTGGAGCCAGCTTCAAAGGGAGATCATACTCCTACTGCTGGAGCGCTCAGGGATCGATCCAAGGGTTACAACCTGGTCTCCAGAAGAGAACTGTGTATGGATGTGACAGGCACACATCTCCCACAGGAATGTTTTCTGCCTTCTTGGAGTGAATGGTGTCAAGTATTTTTCTCATGTTCCTGCCCAAAACCTGGAGTCATAACAGACACTGATAAAAAACAAGAGGTGGTTGTTTCCTGCCCCTCAGGATTTTTTGCAATCATACCGTGAGTAGTAGCATGAGGGGAAGGGAAAGGCCATTTGCCACACCAAAAAAAAAAAAAATAACCCTGAAAATTAGGCTGCAAAGGAAATGCTGCTGGGTCAGCATGGCGGGCAGCAGAGAAGCTGGACACCTCCAGACAGGCTGGAACTGTATCCCTGCACCCTGGGAGGGATCAGCACGCTGCCAAAAGAGAAGTCAACATGTAGGACTCATAAAACTGAAAAAAAAAAAAAAATAAAGAGCAGTGATTAAGTTTGCTACACCCAGAAAATAAGCAAGAGAAATGGAGGTTCACTTCCAAAATGCCACGCTGCTATTTGGCAGAAGGGCTCGTGAGCTCTCCCAGTTATCCTCAGAAGATCCCGAGGTTTGTAAGGTCCCATATTCTCCCTGGAATAAAATCTACTCTATCTGACACGGCACATTTTGGAGGAAAAATTCTACTTTCAGTACTGAGAAGATAAAGGAATCTATATTTTAAAATAAAAAAGGATACTCAAGGATTACACCGAAACCCTAAAAACCTGTAAGAGGAATCTTCCCTTTAAATGATACAGCCCTGGAGTGAAAGGGAACCACTTCCATTTTTATGTGTCATCTATCTTTAGTCCTCCAGAATGCAAAGAGATGCAAAGACTGCGGTATTACAGAAATAATTTATACTGGAGAATTCCCACTGTCCCCCCGACCAGTTATAAATATTGATGGGGTGTTTAAGGCAGCCAATCACACAAATATTTAATATTCATGCACGGGGAATTCAACATACACTTCTTGTAGGCTCTTCCTTACGTAACGTTCCAGAGCGTTCCCTCTGCGGGTGGGGATGGGATTTCTACAGGCAGCAGCTGAGACCCTCAGCTGATGGAAACAGCCCTCCTTGTCAGAGGGTCACCACGCTCCCGATGACACCGGTACCGGCAGCATCGGAGAAACGGCCCCATCGCCGATTTCACCCGCAGAAATCGGGGGGGAAACAGAGGTCAGCCACAGTTCTCCATCAGCAACCAGGCTGTGTCACCATGCAGCCAACTGGGGGAGACTGAGGGGAGACCTCACTGTGGTTACATCCTCTGCTTGAGGGGCAGAGGAGGGGCAGGCACTGAGCTCTGCTCCATGGGGACACGAGGGAATGGCCCGAAGTTGTGCCAGGGTAGAGTTAAGTTGGATCTCAGAAAGAGGTTCTTGGGCACTGCCCAGGCTCCCCAGGGCAGTGGGCACAGCCCCAAGGCTGCCAGAGCTCCAGGAGCGTTTGGACAACACTCTTAGTGACAGGGTGGGATTGTTGCAGTGTCCTGAGCAGGGCCAGGAGTTGGATTCGATGATCCTGATGGATCCCTTCCAACTCAGCATATTCTATGATGCCACAGGGGTCCTGACTCCCAACACCACTGTCACACCACAACACTCCCTCCCGACAGCCTGTTCCATTGAACTGCATGTACCAAGTGAACTTGGGAATACTTAATAATTAGGCACATTAGGCAGCAGCTGGGTAAGAAAATCCTTATTCTGTGACAGTGAGTCACAGGGTTCTGTGGATCACCACAAAGGTGGGCAGTTTTTTACCCCCACAACACGGTCGTGGCTCACCCTGGTCACGGTCGCAACGCGAGCGAGGACCAGAATCGGGCAGTGCTTGCAGCTCCTAACGAGCTTGATTAAACTCAAATGCTGGTGGTTTCTCTCGAGCTATTCTATGCCAACACACTCTTCGTATATGCAATACATTTAATAAATAAAACATATACTTACTCGACTGCCGTCTTCCAGAAATAGATGAGAAGTGTCTGCCTTGTGGGATATTCTCCAAGCCTTACCAAGCAGTCATTTCAAGGATTCTCCATGATTATAAAAGCACACTGGCTAACTCTGAATTGGGCTGAACAGCCTCAATTATATAACTCATTACTACTTCCAAGAGTGCTCAGTGGAAAGAACAGGAGTTGTAGAGTGAGATGATGGGAGACAAATTGGCATGTGCGTGAATCAACGTTTAAACAAAAGGAACTCCGGCCCTTTCTTGGAATAGCAACATTTTGATGTCTCAAATCCCCCGACACTGGTTTCATAAACGCAGTAACGTAAACCATGTGCTGGGTGGTGATTTTTTGAGGACCTTCCCGCTTTCATTGTGTGTTTTATTACAGGCCAAATGTGACATTAAATGCTATCCGCTGCGGCTTGGAGTTAAATACTTGCTCTGTTCAGAATAGCAACACTCAATTAAACAGCATTTTTCATGATCTACACCCTCTATTGTCGCTGTGTTAAAGGGAAATAATGGGAGCACTGACCTATATTGCGTTTCTTATTATCGATGGAGATGAAGCGTATGCAGGGATTATCAGTGATGTACTGAGCAGCCCAGGGGACATCAATCCGTGTACCAGCTTCATAAAAAAGTCCCAGAGCGTAGCGGGAGGAGTAGCTCACAGATTCCAGTTGCTGCTTTTGACTTTCATTAATTACTGGGGGGGAAAAAAAAAAAAAAAAGGGAGAAAGAAAAAAAAAATCAGACAGATTTTCTCTCCTCTCAGAACATTAAATATGTGAATGCTGCAGTTAAGCTGATTATTCCTTCCTGAAAATGGCCAGACTGCTGAAACTAAGAATTTAATATTAAGCCTAGTGCTTTGTAATATTTTTTTTCTGGGACACCTCTTCATGAAGTTTTAATGGTGCATTATGTAGAGTATGTCCTTCACACACAACCCTCCCCCCAGTTGGTGGTGGTTCATCTCCCAGCTCTCTGTGAATTGCCTCTGACTGGAAACTTCAATGACCGGTGACTTTTTCCTAAATCTTTACTCAAAATGGTGGATAAATAGGAATAAGGTGGTTAGGTTGCCTCAAGCACACCAAGTAAATGGCTGCTTGGCTCGACAAAATGCTAAATGACTTCACATATCGCCAAAATGAACCCAGAGACTCTTGAACGTCTGGGGGAAATCGCCCCACAACTTGTGTGTCACAACTTGAACGAAGAAAACTCTGTGTTTCAGCACACAAAGGGTTTGTAGTGAAGTTCAGTTCCTCCAGCTGAAGGTATTTTAAAGCAGTTTACAGAGCAAATATGAATCCATTCCTCCCTGTGATCAACTCCTCTATCTCCCACTTAGAGTGAGATCTGCTTTTTGCCTCAAAAAAAAGCAGGACAATGGTGTGACTGACCCTGATGCTCCTCAGACCTGGCAACCAGGATGGCTTCCTCACACGCTGCCAAGGAACTGCTGTGCCAGGGCAAGGCTCGAGGAAGCAGGGCTACAAATCCCACTCCGTGTGTGGTGCTGTGACACAGCCCCTCCTGAGCCCCCCAGTCCCCTGACTGAGGCTCCTGGCTCATCTCCCCCAAACCACCACAACCTCCACACCCACACCAGCCTGACCTAATCCCCAGCACACCAGAGGATCACAAGTCAGATTCCACCTCAAATCCCATCAGAAACCAACCCTGAAATGCCTCCAAGAAAAAACCCTCCCGAATTTTGAGGATTTTCCCCGTGTATTTTCCCATCCATATTCCCCACATATTTTCCCCACAAATATGCTGGGAAATGGAGAAACGTGGGGGAGAGGGCAGAAGGAAACATGGATCAAACTGTGAAAGCTGGGGAGAGAAAAGGAGGAGAAATGAGGCATCTGGCAGGAGGGGTGGTGGTGGAGTTGGAGGAAGCCAGAGGACAGGACTAGCTGAGCACAATGGGGTTGGAAGGAGCTCCCCTTTCCCTCTCCAGTCCAACACTCCCTCTGAGAAGGTGTCAAGGGTTTCAGTTGCCTCTCATCTGAGCCCTGGCACTGGATCATTCTGAGGAAGATTTACTCCAAGGTCGCTCTGCCTTCCCCCAGCAGGCTGCTCCCCTGAGATCCAGGGCTCCTGGGTGCCTAGGGCTCTATGCCCAACCTCCAGAGCAGCCTGGCACGGAGACCACCCCAGGTTGCAGCAGGGCCCTGGATTTCATCCCGCTTTTCCGTGCTGTCCAAATGTTTTGAGTTGACCCCGGCACTGGCAGGACTCCCCCAGCTCCCTGAGTCTCCTGCAGGCTGCCATCTCCTTCCTCCTCCATCCGTCTGCTCTTCCACAGCTTCTCTCCAGCTTTTGCAGCCCCCAGGACCAGGAGATTCCACAACCTGGCAAAGCCTGTAGGACCAGGAGGGAAAGGGAAGCAGGGCTGTGGGGCGGACTGGAGGACTGCCCTGGAGGAAAGGATGCCAGAGGACCTCGCACATCCCGCCCCACTGGAAATATTCCCTGGCTTGTGCTAAGCTCCAGCTGAAGCCATGGATTTAACAGTGCAGGCACACGGTGCCAGCCCCCGGGAACCACCTCAGGGCCCTTTTCCAAGTCGGAACAGCGGCGTTGGCGATTTCAGCGGTGCCCGTCCCGGTTCCTCCTGGCAAAGCACAAGAGCCCAGACAGGGAAAAGAGCTGCTGCTAAACACATTAAGCACACAGGGTGGCACAAATCTCACCCAGAAACCCCCCTGTCCTCTTGCAGGTAAGGGCTCTGCACAGCTGGGTTCTGAGGTGTCCGCCACCAACCAGTTCCCCTTCCTACAGTCTGATAAACAATCACCATGTGTTGCACATTCTTGCTGTGCTTCCAAAGGATATTGAAGTCCTATAAACAAGCAAACAAATACGAAGCCCTGACATCCCATCTAAACCACTACTCTTTGTCCAGGTTACTCTGGCAACTGATTTCCCCTTGGGGAAAGAAAAATAAACAAGACCTTCCCAGGCCTGCAAGGCAAATTCTCCCCCCCCAGCAAAGCAGGAATGCATCTGGGATGGAGCTGAGCTGCAGGGGAAGGGACCAGCAGGTTGAAATTTGCTTCAGGTTTACCACAGAGAGCCCTTCAGAAGGCACAGCCTTCACAACCAATGTTCAGAGTTGCCAAAGCCAAGGCAGCCAGCTGGTTGGTTCAAGACTTCCCATGTCTTTACGGACCCGCCTTCACAAGCTGTAAGGCGTGAGGGGTCATTGGGGATGGATGCCGAGCAGCAGAGCAGGAATCAGAGCTAAGCCATGATTTTGTCAGCTGTAACTACACACCTACACACAGAGCTTGGCCGGGGGGTGCTGGGGAAAGGAGGATGAAGGAAGGCAACGAGCCCAGCTGGGCAACCTCATCCCCGGGAGAGGGGACAGCAGGGAGGGCAGGCAGACACAAGTGACAGAGGGCTGTAAACAGCCAGGGTGGCTTGTTCACAGCAGCCAGGGAAGGAACAGCTTCAGGAAGGAGTGACTTTTCAAAAAGCCTCGAGGAGATGGAATAACACACAGGCTGAGGGCAGCCTGTTACAGTGCCCAGCGCCTGCAGGAACTCTGGAGACAGTGACAGGCCCCTCCCTAGAGAGATGTGAACCCCAGAAACACTGAAGAATTCACAGAATCACAGAATTAAACAGGTTGGAAAAGACCCCCGAGATCATCAAGTCCAACCTGTGACTGATCCCCCTCCTTGTCCCCCAGCCCAGAGCACGGAGTGGCACATCCAGTCCTTCCTTGGACACCTCCAGGGACGGGGACTCCACCACCTCCCTGGGCAGCCCCCGTCAATGTCTAATCACCCTTTCTGTGAAGAAAGTTTCTGTGAAAAAAGGTTCCTCCAGACTCTGCCCTGCCCTGTCCTGGGGGAAAACCAGAGTTGGAAGGGAAGCTGCAGGGTGGGAACAGGAGGGTAGCAGGAGGTCACTGGGGCCATGTCTGAGCTACTTGGGGCATCCCTGGGGATGGGGATCCTCCACCAACTCCAGGTCCCACCCCAGGGCTGCCCCACTCACACAGGGATGGGCTGTTTCCTCGGGGCTGGTACCTCTGCTCTCCTTCTGTCCACACCATAACCCAGAAATGACTCATACCCACCCATCCCAAACAGTCAGGTTGATATCTCAAAATTTAAAAGTGTGTTCATTCAACCACTGATGCACCGATTCGCTTCGTTACGGTTTGGGTTTTTAAAAAAACAACGCCCGTGGTTCACTGGGTCCTAAACAGCTAGAAATTCAGTTTTTACAAGGGAGGTTTTACAGCTTGAGAAGACAGGCAAGAAAGTGGCATCAAGTCTGAAATCCAGCAATGAGAAAGCTGAGCTACACGCAGAAACAAGGTTAAGAGTTGTAAGATTGAGGTTTTCCCCTGCTCCATCCATTATGCGTTTCAGCAAGGCCAACAAGTTGATCTAAGGACATGAAGAGAACCTTCATTTCGAATTTCCATACTTTTATTGCTTCAAATGAAAACCAGACTGTTGTTTTAATGCTGTGGACGAAACCACAAAACAACTATTAATTTTTCTGCTTCCAACAAAAACGGTTGAGATGATTTTAATAACATTTTGGAAAAAAAAAAAAAAATACAACCCTCTAGTTTTCAGACCACGGAATTGCCCGGCGTATAAGAATCAGCCATAGCAATATTTTTAAAGCACTGCATAAAGACACGAAAATCTTGTATTTTCCACTGAAAAACTCAGCTCCAGCTGCACTGCGAGTGCCACTGAAGTAAGTGTCCTCTGGAGATTTCATCACATCAAAGCAAGGGGCATGCATACTTCATTTGCTGTTTCTCTAGACACTGACAGCAGAGTGGATTACTTATCTGCAACACTCCATAAATACAGCCAGGGCCTTTTATCTGCCGTTCCAGTACTTTAATGTCACCTCGCTGCCTCACTCGTGTTGTGGGAAGGAGAGGACCCAGAGATCCCATTAGGGCCAGCAAGAGAGAGGAGAGCCAAGGCTTGAGCTGGCAGGCTGGGAGCACGGGCACCAGGCCATCCAGGCAGCCAGGACTGAGCCCAGCCTACCATCACCAAGGCCAGGGAGGCAAAAATAAACCCAGCTGCTCCGACGGCCAAGAACCCACTGGGGTGATCAAGGTTGAATCCTGGACATTCAGTCTTTTGCCAGCAAGGTCCAGGAGGGGATTGCAGTATCATGGACTCACAGAACGGTTTAGGCTGGAAGGGATCTTAAGCATTACCTTGTTCCAACCCCCTGCCATGGGCAGGGACACCTCCCACTAGCCCAGGTTGCTCCAAGCCCCTTCCAACCTGGCCTTGGACACTTCCAGGGATTGGGGACCCACAGCTTCTCTGGGCAACCTGTGCCAGGGCCTCCCCACCCTCACAGGGAAGACTTTCATCCCAATATCCACTCTAAACCTACTCTCTGTCAACCTGAAGACACTTTTCTCTGCAGAGAGGCGCTGCAGGAGCCACGTAGCACCTGGATCACTCACCACCAGCTTGTGGCAGCTGTCAGAGGCTCCTGCAAGGACTGGGCTTGCAACAGCACTTTTGAGCAGGCAGAGATGGGGATGAGACACGATGGGCCAGTACAGGACCCAGCTCAGTCTGGTAACCGAAGCAGAAAGGTCACCTGTGACGTCCCACCAAGTCCCATGTGCTTGCCACTCTAGGTCACAACTGCTGGGGCCAGGGAGAAACCACGTTGAGAACTGCA